TTTTTTTTTTTTTTTTTTTTTTAGCGACGACAAGCAGTACATCACGTCCAGTCCCGCTCTAAACACGCCGTTTGGGACGGCACTGCGTGGGACTCTGGCGGCAGACTGTATGTACAAACGCGGAGGGCCCGCCGGGACATCTCACACCGGGGGCCTCGACGTGCCCTTTCAGCACTACAGGGTTCAAATTAGGTCGAAGATTCACACCAATATCACAGGCGTTTCACTGGAGTCGGAGCGGTTCACATCGACTGGTGGAGCTGGGAGCTTCTGTACAGACGGATAAACGAGACAGAAAAATATATATGGGGTTTCTGTGAAGGACTGTGGAAATGGAAATGAGCGTACAGCGCCTCGCAAAAGTCATTTCCCCACATTTTTGTTTTGTAGGCAATCACAAGCTTTTATGTGGTTTTTTTTTTTGGCGTTTTACGTGATAGAGCAACAGGAAGTGGAACATTCAGTGAGAAGTGGAAGGACAAAATGATGCTCGGCTGTCGGATTTTGTCGAAAATAAATCGCATAGCAAATTTCTATCTGGAGTCAGCTGAAAGAGTAAAGTAAGATGAAACCTATATTTGTAGCCAGAGTGCAAAAACATCGTTTGTGGCAGAAAACTAAAACTAAACCATCGTCCTGAGACATGGTAGTGGCAGAGTGATGCTGTGGGAAATGTAAAAAAAAAAAAAAAGTTTAAAGAAAGATGGATGGAAGTAAACACTGCTTGCAAATTTGAACTATTTTGTAAAGAAACATGGACAACAATTTCAGCTTCCAAAAGGAAAAACCCCCCCCCAAAAAAAAAAAAAAAAAAAAAAAACTCAGGCGGTCTGGTTGCAAATGCATCCAGATTATTGCAATGAGTAATTTATAAACGTGGAGAGAAAGAGAAGCCCACAAATGTGATCTTCACAGTATTTATTAACATCTACTGTGGTCCACTTGGATCACTATTGGGAGAAACACACAAGTTTTAAAAACCATGCATGTTTTCCTTAAAACTTCACACATACTGTCCTGTCACATAAATTTCAAATGCATATGAATATGTTGAAAGTTTGCGGTCAAAACTTGAGAAAAGATGAAAAAGTTCAAGATACAATATCTACATCTATGGTATATAGATGGCCGCATATATATGTTATATATATATATATATATATATATATATATATATATATATATATATAGAGAGAGAGAGATTTTTTTGACTTTTGCAAGGCACTGTACCTCAAGCTTTCTCCTTTTTTAAAATATATTTCATTATCTTCCATTAGCGGTAAGCTCGACAAGTAAAAATATAGGAATGATTTTACTGCGAAGGTGTGCAAATTCAAGTAGGAAAACACTAGAAGATGACCGTGGCAAAGCTTTCGTCCTTAACATTAAGACGTGGCGTTTAACAGCAGAAGCTCTGAAAACGATGCGCGGGCGTCGAGCAGCGTGTCGAAGAGAAAAACCAAGTCTGCGTAAGGCAAAGGAAAACGTCAAAAAAAAAAAAAAAAAAAAAAAAACGACGGGAAAGCCCTGCAGATATGAACGAAAAAGTACACCGAACTGAGAGAGAAACATAGAGCTCACTTCTTCTGCGAGCATCTCTTTCGATAAGCCACTGCTGAACCGACACGATGGGGGGGTTTGGGGTGGGGTTGGGGGGGACAGACGTTCAAGAGGGAGCAAAGATGGACGATGAACACGGACGACAGCAAACAGCAAGCAGGACCTATTGTTGACGAGGAACCGCATTACAGGTCCGCTTTCTGGACTCGACGGGCTCTAAATGCGATTCCCCCCCGCCCCCCCGACTCTGGGGGGCCAGTGAACAAGGGGCGTGACTTCTTCTCTGACTGGTCTGTCGTTGTGCTGGGTAACAAATAGGAGCCATGCCTCCTTATAGGCCACAGTTCTCGCTTTGTCTTGGCACTGTGCATCTGGTGAACGAGCCACAAAGTCCTCGGGGCTGACGGGTCTTGCGGACGCCCTCCAAGTCGACTCGCAGACACAAAGAAATGTTCACCTTGTTACTCCTTTAAGTACATCAAACTAATAGATATAAAGTTGAGGATAAAAAGCCCATTTAGGGTGCAGCAAATATCCAGGCTCTGTTTTTTTTTTTTTGTTTTGTTTTGTTTATATGTTTTTCTCTTAGATCTTTTTTTTTGTATTTTACACACATAGAGTAGCGTAGCTCCTGTTCGGAAACCTTTTGTATTTCACTGGTTCATACTTGAGATAGCTGACCACAACACATGTATTTATACGTCCTTCACACTGGAACACTGAGGTAAGTATATGGATTACACATGGATAGTCTCTTCGCCCGGCGGGGAAAGAGCTGGCGAGCTCGGCCGCTGCTAAGAGAACTCTTGATGCTGTTTTTGTCTCTAGTCGGTGCAGAATTGGTCTTTAAGTCTCGCTTCCAGGAAAAGTTGAATGTTGTCGCCGTTTTTCGAACCACCCCCTCCTCCCCCATTCTCTCATGTCGTTTGTGGTTGTGTTGAAGCAGAAAGGTGGATGTGTGGTTCTCTCTCTCTTATGTTGCATAGTGGTCAAAGCTACCCAGGTACTCCAGAGCGGCCTGGTAGCAGAACTGGTACTCATCCTGAGGAGCAGACAAAGAAAGCAATCAAACAACTGTGCAATAAAAAAAACTGTCTATTATGTTAAGTATATGTTTGATTTCAAAATCCCACAGCTAATGCCGATAATAATTACTGGTCATTCAAATTTTCAGACTTCTTAATCATTATGTCATTTATTAATTAGAAAACATGGTATCAACAACAAGCCACAGGCAGTCCAGATCTGCAAGATGCTTTTTTTTTTAATCTAACCAGATTATCTAGGTTTGGTGTGACCAAAAAAAAAAAAAAAAAGGCAAAAGAGAAAAAAACACTTTTAAGTGGAAGATACTTTTCACAGTACTAACACTATTGCACTTAGAAGTTCCCAAGACAGCACTGGTGTTTCAAAAGCTGGACCAGCTGAGATCTTTTTTTTTTTTTTTTCAATAAAATAACTTTTCCTGCTATAAAACTGTTGAGGATGGAGTTGCTCAACATAGTAAAACTTTACGTTGCCGCTCCGAGTGCGGATTAAACGGGGGGGTCACAACTAAAACACGCGACTCCAAATGAACGCTTTCAAACCGCACCGGGAAAAGTGCTGCATGCTGCACAAAGATCTCGAGCCAAGCTTAGTTTATTCATATTCTGACTCAGAGAAATCCTCTCTCCTGCAAATGTATAAAGTGGAGAATAGTTGTCCAATTTCTTGCAAATTTGTTGATTTTATGCTCTGTTTTTAGTTAAACCGATTTATGTTTTTTTTGTTTTTTTTTATGACAAGACGATGTTTTAAAAGCAATTTAACATGAATCTTGTACCAGTTAACTTTCAAAGTTGTGCTTTATCTTCATTGTATATTTAGCAAATAAAGAGTGAATTCCTTTTAATTTGTTTTTCTTTTTAAATCAGCAGCCACAATAAAAGAAAGAAAACCTTTAAAAACTTGCAATATTGTTTAAAAAAAACAAAAAAAAAAAACACAAGCCTTTGCTAAACATAATGTTTCCAGATGTTTTCAAAATGGCATTTGAGTCCAAAGTTTCAGTCGATACATGCTGCTCTCGTAGAGCACCGTCTACATAAATTCACTTTCCAAATCTTACGGTTTGCTCTGAGCGTCACACTCCACTCTCTCAATCATACAGAGCAAAGTAGCTTTTAATTGAGAGGCTCGTCAGATGATTTGATCTTAAAGACCCTTAAAGTCCCTTTTTTTTTTCCCTGCTTCATTTCGGCTGAAGCCCGTGTAATAACCTCGTCCCGAATGCGCCTCCAAATACGCTCGGTCCCTGACGATTTCCACTCTGCTCTGGAGCCGACGCGGAGCGTCCGACTCGCGTTAACCTCAGGAAGCGACTCTGTTGTGCGTTCTGCTATACACATCAGGTCACGACGCCGTCGTGTCCTCGAGCTCACCTCAGTCTGCACCATGGCCGGTCTCTGTGTCCGCAGCATCTTGACAGTTTGGAAGATGTCCACTGCGCCCTCGTAACGCATTCTCTCGAGGACGATGCTCAGCGTGATGAAGACACCTGTCCGCCCCACACCAGCGCTGCAGTCGGAATGGAAAAAAAACAAAACAAAACATGCCAGAACAGATTGAAGGGCGCCAGACTCCCCGGCGTGACACTAAAGGAATATATATATATATAAAGGGATATACCGATGAACTCCAGGGAGGACAGCGGCTGGCATACCGGCAGTGAACGGCGATCGGTCCGTCCTGGCCAAACTGCTCCTTGGTTTTGTGCACTTGGCCGATGAAGTCGATGAAGCCCTCCCCGGATTTCGGCACGCCTTGCTCGGGCCAGTCGGTGAACTGGAACTGACGTACCGTTCTGGACTGGCCGTCCTGCGGGAACGGGGCGGATCGGCAACGATAAGAGACGTTTTCACCAGAACACCTGAGTGATTTAAAAAGCCGACGCGGTTTCTCTTTTCAACACACGACGCCTATCGTGAAAGCAAGCAGTCGCTGCCGATTCATGGGGATCATTTCAGAATTACTATTTCCAGACTTTCTTGCTGTATTGACTGAGAAAAGATGCTCTGCCGGGCAACATCCTTTTTTTTTTTTTTTTCTCCCTTTCTAATCATTACTGTTATCTGACCCGGGATCAGTTAGCTGTGGTTAACTTGAAGCTGTAACGTCAGTACATCTGCTTCTGTCAGCCACTCAGTAGGCAATTACATCTTTTCTCTTCTGCTCAGCCTCTCCGACTCCTCCTTAATGGAGATCAATAGAGCATCTGTCAATGTGGCGTCACTGCAGGACAGGCTTAACTGGAGTTATCTATGACTGGCACGTGCACACGCTCACACACGCACACACACATAGACACACACACACACGCCCGTGTTGTCAAGATAATCTGGAGACAGCATGGTCGAATGCATGGCCTGCAGCATCTTGTCAATACGCGCAAACAGGCCGTGTCGCACACACACGCACGCTCGCATACAAAACACTCACTGAGCAAACACACACACTCCGGGTCGATAGGACACGCTTCGCGTCGCTGCCCCCCCAAACGACACCGAAGGAATAGACAAAAATCGAGGAGTGCGATATCACGCCGCCTGGACTCAACGTACAGCAGCGAGGAGTGTGTGATCGCAAACCCACCCTGGCGTCTGTAACTTTGAACTCCCGCAGGATGTACTGGGGCATGTTGTACTCCGCCATCGGGTCAACCACAAAGTACTGGTACCTGGCGGAGCGCTCGGCGGGCCAGTACTGGTGACACTTTTCCTGAAAGAGCAAAAAACACAATCGTACTCTGATGAATCGTGAAACACGGGGTGAAGGGGGTCGGGGTGCCGGAAGGTGTGAAGTGTTTATTAATATTCAGCAGTGCCTTGGAGAGGATGCTTATAACGCTCGACTGTCTTTATTTGTGTAAAATATGACAGACCCACACAAGTAGAGCATGAACAAGATGGGAAACGCGGGGTTTTCTTTTTCTACACGTGAAAATCGGAAAACTGAAGCTTCCGTTTTGATTTAGCCCGTTTGAGTTAATAGTTTGTAGAAGAACATTTTGGTGTAGTTACAGCTGTCTGTGTTTTTTTATCGGATGCCTCCAAATGCTTTGCACATCTTGAAACCGGCAAAGCTCAAGCTCAGTCAGACTGAAGCTGCAGTCTTCCTACCCCAACACCTGTTTATGCTTTGATCTGAACCATTTCATTGTTAATCTGGATGTATGTTGAGCATTGTTGACCTGAAAGGTGAGCCTGCCCTTCTGTCTCACTTTCTGCAGCCCCTTAGCATGTTTGCACCAGCATTTCACCATATTCACCTTCACCCTTCCTCCCTTAAAACTCTCAACATTTTTCCTGCCCCTGCTGAGGAAAAAGCATCCCAGAGCATGATGCTCTCACCCCCGATGTTTTACTCTGGGGATTGCGTGTTCGGGGCAACGGGAGTTTTTTTTCTTGCCCATCACGTTTCGGCCAAACAGGCCTCAATGTTTATTCTCCGTCTCCTGTGACCGCAGCAGCCAATTAGCTTGCAAAAAGCTGAAACTATGACTTTTTCTTGACACTGTTCTATAAAGTGCCAGATCTGTGAAGAGCGTCACCATCGGTTTTCTTGTTGACAGATTCTCCCACTGGAGCTGTTGGTCTCTGCAGCTCATACAGAGTCACTGGAGGCTCTTGGCTGCTTCTCTGAATACTCCCTCCTCGCCCAGCCTGTCAGTTTAGGAGGACGGTCATCTCTTAATAGGTTTGTGCCGGTGGTGCTGTACTTTTTCATTTTTCAAATGCCGGTTTGAACGGTTCTCAGTAAGATGTTTAAAGGTTTAAATATAAAACTTTATAACCTCTTCATCTGTCTGCTATGTTCCTTGATCTTCATGGTGTTTGTTCTCCATCAACCCTCTAAGCTTTTTATTATTTATTGCGGTCTGGTTGGACTATATTTTCTAATTAACTAAGTTCTGAAATAAAGAGCTTCCTTTTTCTCTTACCTGGGTGCCACAGAGTAAAGTAAAGCAGGCGAAAAAAAACAAAAACAAACAAATGCATATATTTCAGAGTTTTGTTTGCAAAAAATTTTTGATGATGATTTGCAGAATTGTAATTTCGTCGTCCTTACCCGTCCCATTTCTCTCAGCTTCGTCAGCATGACCACGATGGTGGAGTTGTGCTCCCACAGCATCCTCCAGAAGTCCTCCGTGGTCTCGGCAAGCGGACCCTGGGTGGCAATGTAGCCTCTTTGCTGCCTGCACACACACACACACACACACACGCACACACACAGGAGCACAATATTATTATGAAGCCTCCTCCTTCCGTTCTCTCCCCCCCCCCATTTCTTCATCTGCCAAGCATCTCACTAAAAACTGGGTCAGGCTTCAGGCGAGACGCAGGGCAGTCAAAACACGCGCGTAGAGCCACTTGGAACGGCTGAATCATCAGGAAGCCCTCGCTGTCCGTCCCCGTCGCGGGGACCGAGGCAAGCGCTGCGCGGCGAGACAAATCGTGGGAGCGCGTACGGAGTAATGACAGATCTGACGCGACATGACAGATGAGAGGGCCGCGGTGAAAAGCCCTCCGATCCGGTCACTTATCAAAGCACGGCGAAACGACAGGAGGGTCGGGTCGGATTAGCGTTGGCGGCAGGATGACGTACCTGTATCCGTCTATGTAGCTGGCGTTGATGTAGTCGGAGCCCTCCAGGCCGCGGATGGGCTGCAGGCAAACGCGAGTGGTTTCGTAGGGCATGATGTTCACCAGTCGGTTCTTGAATTTGTTGCAAGGAAGGTTGGCTGTGACAAACCGCGACGTGTGGGCTTTAGTGTTGGCCAGACGCTGGAATAAGAAGGAAATGAACATCTTGAGTTTAAAAACTTGATTATTTAGCAACTAAAAGGTTTGACTGTTCATTTCTTTTTTTTTCTTTTTTTTTGCTTTCTGGTTTCTATTCTATTTTAAAATCTATCTTAGACTGGGCTTAGTTGTCTGACATTCAATACTTAATCTTTCATTCATAATTAATGATATGATTCACATCAATTTCCATGAAAATACAAAAAGAAGAGACATCAATTATTTATTAGTATCAGTTTAAAAAGCTGATAAAGGAGGGCCAGAAAAAGTGGTGAAATGTACCGTTTTTTTTTGTTGTTTTTTTTTCATTTTTGTCCTCAAACAACAAAACATACTTTGATTTTGATTGAGAAAATCATAGATGCAGGAAACAATCTGAATATAAAATCAGTGCAAAAAGCCTGTTTGTTCACAAACACATCTTGACGATATAAGAAAAAAAACGTCAGAAAACTCAAGTGTTTTTCTGTCATTGTCCAACAGTTCCACTTAAGCCCTTTGGCATTTTTCTCCCCACCTTGAACTCCAGCTCCATGCCGGTGACGTGCTCGCCGGGCTCCACCTTGGACAGCTTCTGCATGTAGGAGTACAGGCTGCGGGCCGCCACCTCCGTGTTCCCACAGGCCACGGCCTCCAGCAGGGACTCGTGGATGAAGCTGTACTGGTCCTCCGTCTGCACCATGTAGTTCCTCTGCGAGCGCATGAGGGTCACGTGGCCGTAGATGTCCACGGTGCGCTCATGCCGAATGCGCTCCAGCATGGCGTCGATGACGATGAAACAGCCGGTGCGACCCACGCCGGCGCTGACGGAAAGAGACGAAAACAACAACTTTTCATGGTAAAATTGTCGGAGAAAATCGGTGAAAGCCGTGAAACGGACTCGTTTTTTTTCTTGTCATTCTGTATCTTTGTTTTTTTTTTTGTTTGATTTTTTGTTTTTTTTTTAATGTGTGTGCACACCTGCAGTGAACAATGATGGGTCCGGCATCAGGAGGGTTGCAGGCTTTGACCCTGCGAAGGAAGTTCAGGAAGGGGGTGGGATATTCAGGCACGCCATGATCGGGCCAGGCGGTGAACTGGAACTGACGCACCTCCCTCCGTTCGCTGCTGCCACTCTGACGGGAGAAACACACGGGAAAAAAAACAAAAAAACAACAAAAACAACATCTTTACACGCCTGAATGACTGAAAGCGCAAGTACAATAAATATAAAAAACAAACTTATTTATAATGATGGTTGGATTTACAGTGCATTGCAAAAGTATTTATACCTTTTAATTTTTTTTTTTTTAACATTTTGTCACAAACTTTGAACATTTGGCCAACTTGCAAAACTCCACCGGTGCTGGAAAACTAACACAGCACACCACCATGAACACACTATGGCTGCCAGTAAAAATAGATTTTGATGTTTATGACTGAGCATTAAGGCTAAATACAATTACGCGGATAAAGCCATAATATTCAGAGAAAAACGTCATACTACAAAAAAGCCATAATGCTGCGAGAATAAAGTTGGACGAGAAAAAAAGTAAAAACAATACGAGAGTAAAGTTGATACTATTATAAAAATCGAAGTCATAATATTAGAATTTTATTCTAGTAGTTTTATTTTTCTCTTTTATTTTTCTTATTATGGCAGACGGAGCAAAAATAATAATAATAAAAAAAAATCCTAGAGGAAAATCTGTCAAGCCTTCAAAAGATTTGGGAATGTTGTGGACATTACTTAAGATTCTAGCAGGAGAACCACCATAAATATTCTGTCCGAGTCTGAAATTAGAGCCTGTATGTTTATTAGAGGTGCCCAGGAAAAGTCCAGAACTAAATTAGTTCATAGTCTCTTATCCAAACTGACTGAACTTTCTTTGTTTTGCAAAAAAAAAAAGAATGAGAATGATCAATCATGTGCAAATGTGGAAGGGACTTGAAGTGAAAGGTGGTTCTTTAAAGAACTGAGTCAAAGTCTGTCAGACAAAAAATACTAATAAAATGCAACAAAATTCATAGTCACAATCATGTGACCAAATGTGAAAAAGTTTTGGTGGGCTTGGAAACATTTGCAAGGAACTTCAGGAAAGATTTTAACGGATTCACCCGACGGCAATCGATAGCAAAAATAAATACATACAAAAAATCCCACTGGAACATACAAATAATCTTTTCTTTAAAACAAATCTAAAACTTGTACCAAAAAAAAAAAAAAAAAAAAAAAAGGAAACTTAAAAAATGGCGCAATTTTAAAATTTTTAAATGTTTCCCGTCCTCCCTTTGGAT